ACTTGTCCCACCCTCATATAATGGCTGTGACGCCCATGTTCATGTGTATCATTTGCCTGTACTAAAAAACTAATTAAATATAATATTAAAAGATTACAAATAATTTGGGCATACTTAACATGATCAAAATCTGAACTCATTGGGTCAAATTGGGATTTGTGACCCTGTTTTGTAAAGTTGGACATTTTAAAATGAAATAAAAGATAAATAAATAAAATATGTATAAAAAAAGGGAAGAAAATATCTATATAAAACGTAAGAGGTTAAAGTTAAGAATGTGCAATAAAAAAAGTAGAAGGAAATCAAATAAAAAAAAATATTTATACAAACATAAGAAGTTAATAATAAAAATATTTAAAATAATATAATTTACATAAACATAAGAAATTGAAACTCAAATTGTGCACATTGTACTACAATAAATATCAAATATATTACAATAAATACAGAGGTTTATCATTATTAATAAGGTATTACTGCTCAATGAAGTCATAGTGCTAGGCTTTTGAATAAAACACAGATAATTGAGAATATGGAAAAGTGTATTCAAGCATCCGAACTGTTGCCTTTGTTCACCATGTACTGCCTTCAATCCAATCCAGATCGACAGGAATATTTGTAAAACACATAAAGCATAAATAGTACAACGCTGCTACACCATCTGACGTGACAAAAAAAAGCCTCTAACACATAGTGGAGGTAGCTGTTATGTTAAGTAATGGTCTGTCATTTTAGAAAATCACAAATCAATCACACAGTGACCAACACGGTCAGAGACGAACACGCCTCCGCTCTCCTGAGACCGGCAGTCCCCGGGATGTCGAGGGGCTTGGCCCAAAAACATGGCTGCCTCTGCAATTAATTACACGTCCAAGAGAGGAACCAACCAATGGATCATCGCGGCCCTGCTCTTCCTTTGAGCTCAAGGACAGTCACAGTTTCTCTTTAAAATAGGGGGGGGGGGCGTCATCCCCTGCTGACAGTGTCCACTGCTACGTGTGGGAATTAGTATGGGGGGGGGCGGGGTATGTGTCACAGACGCCGTGTGGGGACAATGCCCTCAGCTTTCAGGACTAGGATTAATCCTTCTTGTCATCTTCCTGATGTTTAGTTGGTAAAAATGTCTTGTACATAATCAAAGACGGCAACTTCCTAAACCAAGATCCAAACATAAACTACGAGCAGGCATTGATGTTATTTATTTTTGTCGCAGAAATATTTTTTTAACAGTTCGCTCTAATGGTCGCCATTTTTGTTGTATTTTCATCTTTATCCCCTTCTTTGCTGCTACCATGACCCAATTTCCCCATGGGGATCGTTAAAGTTTCATCTTATCTTATCTGCCCCTATCTCTCTCCCTTCCCCTATCACCCCTCATCACCCCCCCTCCCCAAGCCTGCGCTTAATTATGTCCCGTGAATGAAGTTCATCTTTCATGCTGCCAGCAGCCGGCAGCGTGGCTCGCCCCGTTCTGGGCTATCTAATCATGGCGCGGAGACTAAACTAAATTTAGACAGCCGGCTTGTGATGCCTGGCGGGCCATAATGGGGACTGACACCTCGAGACACTCTGCTGATGTACAGGGTTCACTCGCGACCACCGTTGACTAACGCTGACGTCTTGTGAAACTATTTGTTTTGTACAAAAAGTTTTCAAGGGGATCGTGCTTGGAGGTGAAGCACTGTGCTGACTAAGGCCATTTAAACTTAATGTAATGCAGCATTTACATTTTAGGAGCTTAGCCAATGCTCACAGTGTGTGTGTACCTGCATGTGGAATTTACAAACTGGCGACAAGGGGTACAAACACACAAACTTTTATTGGAGTTGTAAACCAACGTGCCACATGTTTTGACAGAATATGCTTTGCTGATGCAGGTTAACTAACGACATGTACTGAGGAATATCTCTGTGTTTAATTAAGGGGTGTCAAACGGGGTAATAATGCAACTTTCTTTAACTGCGATTAATGCGCGCATGCTTTCTGACCCACGGCCTGCTCCGTAGTTTGAGAAACAGCCGCAGTAACATCGTGGATAGTGAGCAGAAACAAGCCTTAAACGCAGAGAGAACAGTTCGGCCTCAAAGCACCGCCAGATGGTTCTCCACAACACCACAGTTATATTTACTGTCGGTGTGAATCCAGTTTCCACCGGAGTACGTCGAGTCTTAAACACCACTTGCTGGCCGAGCATACAGCTGCTGCAGATAGCTTCCCCCCCCCTCACTAAAGGCGGACCACGCATGGACAATTTCTATATGAAATGATGCATTACGACTATGGATGCATGTGTTCATCACAGCTGGTAAAGGTGGAGCTAACTCAAATTACTTTACTGCTGCTGCTGGAACATTTACAACAGATAGAAATTGTGCCATTCTTTATTAATCGCGAGTTAACCAAGGAAATCATGTGATTAATTGCGATTTAAATATTTTTAATTGATTGACAGCCCCAGTTTAAATACAGAGAATTCAAGGGAATTGTGACACTTTTTGCAAATTAACGCCTTTTAAAAATAAAACGATTACATTTTGCAGTAGATCTGCATAACGGGGAGAATAAACGCAATATTTTTCACTTATAGAAACTGCTTTGTACCGGGGTCTGTGCTCTCTAGCAGCAAACAAATTATGTCAGCAGAACATTTTCAAGAAAGGTCAGCACAGGAATGGCAAAATGTTAGATCATCGAGCTCAAGCAAGTTCATTCTTTAATAACCAAATGTAAAAAAATAACATAATCATCTAATAAATCAAACATTTTAAATATTAATATTGTTATCTGTAAGAAAAATCTAGTGTCAGTCTGTCTATACTGAACTGTTGTTAAAATAAAGCCTTACAGTCACAGGACTATGTCTTCTGAATCACTGAATGAGACAGAGGAGGAAGTGTATTAACAGCAAACAGCAGAGAAGATTATAACTCAAATACACTCAAACCAGAAAATCTAAACAAAAGGCTCATCTCTAATAATAGCCTGTCTCCAATGAATGCCTGGTAGCCTTTTCCGCTGTGGTAAATTAGGACCACAGCCACTATTTGAGAATGGAAGCAACGGTATTTAAACTGTGTCATTTCTGCGCTGAAAGAACTCCGACACACTCCTTTTGTATTTAGCATATTTAGGGTATTTAGACAGGCGCATAACCCATTCTCTTGCTAAGCACTGCACTTTCATAATTCTCTCCTCCAGACTCACTTCATGCTCCCCTTCTGTCAGGCACACTCCACACACACACACACACACACACATACGATGCGGCAATGCAAAATGCAACCGCATCCTTAATGTTTTTTTTATCTTAACACGGAACATATCTGAACTTAAATAGGCTTTTTAAATTGATCTCGCTCTCCACACAACTCAAGTTCATGAGTCAGTCACAGTGCTTCCACAACTTTAGCAAAGTTTTTCTTTTCACAACACGCACAGATTCTATATTCTCATAATTCTGGCCCCTCATTTAGTAAGATGCTCTGTATGCTTGGTTTAAATGAGGCAGCATGTGCTTGCCCCTTGAAAATATCAATCATCATGTCAGGGAGTTATTTTTTATGATCGGAAATCTGGTATTTTACAGCCATATTGAGAGCATGAAGTCTAACACAAATCGACATTTTGTTTATCGCTTATGCCTAGGTCTTTGACTGGTATGGCATCACATCAGATATATTATGGTGATGTTAGATATTGATATGTAGTGTTTAGCTCATAGAACAAAATATTTACAATTTTGTATTATTATTTAAATCTATTTATTACAGTATTTTTCATAATTATTTATAATTAAAAAATATGTATATATATATATATATATCATAATTTGATTAAAGGTGGGGTAGGTAAGTTTGAGAAACCGGCTTGATATACACTTTTTGTTATATTCCATGGAATGCTCTTAACATCCCGATAGCAATGAATATCTGAAGTGCTTTGACAAAAAATCCATTAAAAAATGTCATCTGTGGAAGCCGTAATACTGTAAAAAGCATGACCAATCATTTTAGCTAAAATAACTGGATGGCCTACCTGCCTGTCAGCCTTACATCTGTGCACAAACTTATCTCGTGCCCTCATTGGTCATGTGCGCGTTTGTGTGTGTTGGAGGAGGGGCTCTGTAAGGAAGTGGCAGATTTTTTCCGGGCTGTGTATTTTCAAATTCTAGCGCACTCGAGCTGGTTTCTCCAAAATTACCTACCCCACCTTTAAGATGATTATTATTATGTCTAAAAAAAAATGTGAAAAACCCAATATTTCAGTGATCACTATTTAAATGCATTTTGTTTTTACAGCGGTTAACCTATGGGATGACTTGGCATTTGATTATTGTTCTGCTTCAGCAATCATTACTTTGTGACCTTCATTCTATGCAGCCTTACCTTTTTTAAATCATGTAAAAAAAAAAAAAAGACTTGCGATTCAGGAAGCTACTGCCTTTGAACCGCAGGCCTAAGCGTTTCCATTACACAACATTCTGTTTGTAAATGATGGATCGCTCTCTGGCTGGATCTTAGCATTACCATGTAGCTTCAGACAGGTTCATTTCGCACACTCTTCCGATAGCCACTTTGACGTCGTTAATCTTCTGAAACTATGAGATTGATGCACCGAGTTAGCGTAGCGGTTGCCAAAAGTTAGTTTCAGAGGACACAAAGTCGGCTGTGAAGAAGGAGGTCTGCGAGGATTTCATGGCCACTGGGATGGCAGTGGGAGCAAAGTCTCTGGGGTTGGATAAACAATAAAAGGCCTGTCGTTCGGTTAGAACAAAGGCCTGTCATTTGCTTTTGTTGTTGGTGGTATTTTTTCCCCTTGTAATCTGCATGTCCAGATGGCTGGATGACTTTCCCCCTCACATCATCATTAAAAGCGTGGCACAGCTGGCAGACCGAGAGCGAGTAAACTAAGAGTGAGGAGCAAACGGGTGCAAGGAAAAGAGCTTCGGTAACAAAAAGAAAAAGATCAAATGTAGAGCGAGACGAGGAAATATCACGTACCCAGATCTGTGTTTGGCCCCGCCAGCAACTGTTTGAACTTATCCAGACGGGACGCTTCCCTCTCGGTCATGATCGGGGTGCCGGATGTGTTCTGGTCAGCGATGCGAGCCACCAGTGGGATGGTGGGCGGCCGGTGGGGCAGAGACCGCTGTCTGTGGAGTGATGCATGCTCACCTGCTGCATCTGGAGGGAGGATAAAGAGGCGAGAGAGGGCGACGGGTTACACACACAAACACTCAACAAATAGAGGGCTTTCAGATGATGCTGCAAAGGATCTTGGGGTCAGGTTGAAGGCCTAAAGCTTGAGAACATCTGTAAATACAACTGCAAATTGAAATGTTGGAGCCCGTGGATTTTCTGTTTGCATTGTATCTGCTTGTAAGTTTTAAAGTTAGAAATGGCAGCTTCAAAATGACTGTTCAGCTACTCCAATTTGAAATGCATCACTAGCTGACATGCTCACAACGACAATGCTAACATGCTCATGGTAAGCTAGTGAATTCTTTACCATGTTAAACATTAGAGTTCAGTGTGTGATGAGGCTTCGTTAGCAACCAGGAGTACAACTGAGGTTGATGGAAATATCAGTTTTGTGAATTGTTGGTCATAAACAAACTTGAATTCTGACCAGATGATGGCACTTAATCAAAAGTTAAGAGGTATGTAAAGGTATTATAATTAATTCTGAAAGGAAGGATATATTTCGAGCTAAAATTTGAATCTGTTTTAATGAAATAACTTAATAGTAGAAATGTTGACTATGAATTCCATCATGCCATAGTAATGTGAATCTAACAAATGTATTTTTTATGGTTCCTAGCTAGGTGATGATGAAAGCAGTTGCTGTTCGTGTCTTGTTTTGCAATGAGCTTCCAGGATGGTCGCAGTTACGTTTGCAACAAAATATGTGCTTCAACTGTGAAGCCTTTATATCGGCGAGACAGCTATATTAATTCAGTCTGCCACCGCCACATGTTCCCCCAGATGTGCCAAAATAAGACAGAATGAGACCGAGCTAAACAGTGGCAGCACACAGAACAAGTTATGAACAAGCTGGTGGGGTCGGGACTTCAATGTGGAGGGGGATGCTCCTTCTGTCACGCTAGACACTAAGCAAGAGTTCATAAACACTCCTGTGAACAGCACTGCCAACATTTCTCAGGGCTCGATCAAACCCTAAACATCTACTGTGTTCGGCAATTAAGAAAACTGGAATGCTTCCGATTTGTATACCCTTTTAACAAGAGCAAATAAAAAAAATCTACAAACATGTTCTCAATCTCAACTGCTTTATATGCACTTACACAAATTAAATACGATTACCAAAGCATGCAGACGCTTTTTTTGCATTGAAACCTTTTGTGCATTTTTCACGAAAGGCCTATATTATAGTCCATTTAATAACTTTTAATAGGGTAATCAAGACAAGTTAGATAATGTCAGTAGTTTTCACCTATTAATCACAGTAAATAGCATCATTTATTACAAGTAAGCAAGGAAAGATGCCAACATGGAGTGTGTATCTTATTTAGATATGTCACCAGGAGTTTCAGCGGTCCTAATAACCACCAGCGTTTGTGAGTGTGTGCGTGTGCGTGCGTGTGTGTGTCTCACGCTCTCTAGCCTGCGAGGCATTATGTATGAGTGCATAATGTAGAAGTATATGGGGAGAGTCTGGGCCTCACTAATGAAAGCTATGCTGTCTGCCATTATCTAATTAGACCGGGGCATGTGTGTGCCTTGCTGTCATCCTTCACACACAATAGGAGAAGAAAAAAGGACCAGGAGGAGGAGGAAAATCAAATCTACAAAGAAATGAGACACAGCAAAACAAGCTTACTATAACTGTGGGTGTCAAGTTGTTTACCTACCTGCCAAGAACATCGAGTGCATGCATTAAGCTTTAGTGTTTGTGTAATATGCTCATAGAGGTGCAGAAAGATGACGTCTTGCATATTCCCATGTAAGCGTATGAGTCTTCTCTGAGGAGATAAGAAGAGATGCCTGAAGGCAATTGGCTCCTTATGTTATCTGTATCTAAAAACAGCGATAGACAGAATGGCACCCAGGGAGATGACCTGCCAGACAAGACAACAGTCAGACGGTCACTGTGTAAGGCGTCTGCTGCTATGTAGTGTTATAATCTATAAAAGCAACATTTCTTCATAGTTTTACACAGATTAAATAGTTTAACATGTGGATTTGTTATTGCTTTACAGTGCTGCTGTGCACACACTAAGGTTTCAGGAGTAGACAGAGCAGTTGTTGTGTAGTACAGGGTTAAAATAAGGTGCTTATGGAAAACAGACCCAAACTGAAGAGGAGAGGAAGAGAAAGGTGTCTCTGTCTGCTGTCAGCTGGGGCCGAAAATACTATCAGAGAGCTTTTAACTTCATTTTAATACATTTACTAAGAATTCCTAGATTAGGAGCGAGGAAGAGATAGAAACTTGTCCATTATTGAGAAGGTGTTGTTGAACCTGTTGCTAGGTATGACACATTCTTTTAAAGAGGTGTGATTTGTTGATTAAAAGAAAGTTACTCCTACTGATAAGGGGCATAGAATGGACTGTGAAATCAAAAGGCCTAATCATAGACATTTCAATTTAATAAGTAATAATGAACAATAATGTGTGTAATCGACCTTTAATTCATGTAATGTACCCAACAAAATGTTTAAAAACATAAATACTTATATTTATTTGGTTATGTTGATTTACCGTGCTGGTAATTAAGAAATCTCCATTTACAGATTCTTAAAAGTTCTTATTGCTTCTCCCAACTGTTGGGATTGGGTTGCTTAGGCATGCATAGGATAATAACAATAACATATAGGATAAGGGTAGAGTGATAACAGTAAACTCTTATATATAAAATATCTTAATTTCACTATTTTTCTTAGAATATCATCACTTATCTTTGAACTAGGAAGCTGTGGTTTAAAAGTAGAAGAATGTAGGGGGAAGGGCAGGACCAGACGCCTCAAGGATTATTATGAAAAACTGCTCTTGAGCGTATTCCCTCGTTTCCTTTGTTTGTATTTTGATTATGGCAGAGAATGACAATGTAGGCTGACATGACATAAGGAACCTCAGTATTCAAAATAACTATCATTTGCATCACTTATCATTAACATATATCTATTTAAAAGCACAGCAGTGGCAGTATCAGTCACACTGTTGTACAGAGTGATAACATCTGCCAAATATGTTCTGCTCGTTTTTTTGCCCTTTGAATACAGAACATTCCTGTTGAAACTTGATACCGTTTGAATGTGTTGAGTCGACACAAAGCAGCGTCGAGACCACAGTAAAATAAATACACAAAATCAGTAATCGCTAAAATCATTAGAAAGAATATAAAATATTTTCAATTAATTAAAAAGTGATATGGTGGCATTCCCACCACATTCAACCCTTATGTCATAGGAGGACACATTGGCCAAACATTCTATTTATAGTTAGATTAAAATAAAAAAAGATACTTTTATTGTACAGACACATAAAAGAATAATAACCAAACTCAAATGTAGACTCTTGAAAACATGCTGAAAACCATTTTTCTGTTATAAAGGGGTTTAAGAATGTGCTCTAAAAGTAAAAGCAGTGTGGCTTTTAGTGTGCAGGTGAGCCAGAAAACTTTTTGGACACTGAGAAATGGTGCTCACTAACCTTTAGGTGACCCAATTGGAGCTTCGCTTTGGGACTTTACAAGGCGGCCATCAGTGTAAGGGCTGCTCTGGGAGGCAAACGAGACCTCTGGGCTGGTCACGTCTCCTTCCCCCACCCGGTTGTCCTCCTCCTCTTCTTCGTCCTCCTCCTCGTCCTCTGCCACATCCTCCTGTGGGTCCTCTTCTCTTTGTTCTAGCTCTGTCTCGTCATCCTGCCTCTGTCTTTCTTGCTGTTTGCTGTGATTCTCGATGACCTGTTCAGTTGATGGAAAACAGAAATGTATCACTGGTGGTCAGAACTAGGGAAACTCTGTATAAAATATAACAAAAGTGTGCAGTTCTCTGTAATCTGTTTAATACATTTGCAATTTGAGATTCTGTAAATGTCATAATTATTTATGATCAGCGGGTCAAAGGTGACGTTCTTATCCAGATCAGATCCAGATATATTGTGCGAGCCATTGTTTAACTGCCCTATCTTAAGTAGAAAAACAACTTTAAAATAACCTGACGCAATCTTAAATGTATTGTAGTGCTGTAAACCCCTTTCTCCAAACTACCCATTTTCCCTAAATTAGACATTCGGAGCTCCGCAGGGATACATTTCGGTGCCTTGTGTATTTTCTCCGTGAAAAAAAACAACAAGAATTAGACATGTTTGAGTTTTCTTTTTTACCAAGAAATTGGGAATTAGCTAACGTAACGGAATGGTAAATGTATTGAGCATCACTTATTTGTTTATTTTGTTTGTTAGCTTGTTACCGGCAGGGGCTGACACAGCGTTACTTTTCTAAAACATACAATAAACTTGGTTTACATCCCAAAAATTGCAAATTCCCTTTTTTTCTGTCAAAACATTCACTATGTTACAGCTGACTCCCACTCTCTATGATAAGTTCACCGTGTGTTCGAGGTGTTTTTAAGACCGTCTCCCTGCGTCCTAGACTGCACTTTGCTGTATCGTATTCATGACATAGCTAATTTAGTTTACCTGGGGTACATTTGAAATCTCAGATTGTTGCAAAGTGCACACACATCTCCCCCTTCATCAAAGGAATGTGAAATCACCCCTCTAGATACAAACTGTGCACAGACACAAGTCAGTATAGTCAAGGTCTGAGATCTTTAAGGATACAAACATAAGAAAAACACATTTTTGAGAGGACTGCATCTAGTTGTTCACCTTATTGGCTGTCTCCATGACAACCTCAATATTAAGGTTCTGTGCAGCCATGGCCAGCAACTCGTCATCATCATCCCCGACATCCCAGGCATCGCTTGTGATGCTCTCAAACTCCTGGAACGTGGTAGCCTTCTTGGGTTTGCCTGGCGTGGCTGGAGGAGGCTTGTTGCCAGCTTTAATCAGGCTGCACGGCAGATACAGGGAAATGAAAAGAGAGAAGATAAGGGTCAGAGGATAAGATTAAAGAAATTGAGGGAAAAGGTGTAAGAAAGGAAACAGAGGTGGCAAAGAGGCAGTAAGTGGAAGGAAAAAGGAAGGAGGTAAGTGGGGGGAAAGACAGATATGAGAAGTTAATTATTTTGACACAAAACACACAATGGCATTGGCTTTTGAAATAATTATCAGCAAAACCTAGGAGTCTGTCACCACCTCTATTTACACAATAGTAATATTAAAAACTAGAATTAAAAGCACCTCCAACACCTAAGAATCAATGTGGTTCAAAAGACAACATTCACTGAGTTGCTGTCTTTGTGCTTCAAGAGCAGCATTACATTCAGCCTGGAACAAGATATGCAACAAATAAAAGAGAATTCAATTAAACTCAACCTTTTCTTATCATGTGATGTTGAACAAAAAAAGGCTGGAGAGGGAAATGGGGACTGTGATTTCTTTCAAAGACAAGGTTAACCATTTATATAGAAAGACTTGTCTAGTATCGATTTCTTCCGTCATAATTTGAAAGAAAGTCTGATATTTTACGCTGACCAAAAACAAGCACATTGAATTCAAACTACATGATTACACATCAGTCAGAAGAAGTACATTTATTTTGAACAGAATAAGAGGATGTTTTGCTATCTGTGTCAGTGTTTGTGTGCAAGTGAAAAAGGAAAGGTTAAACAATGTTGCAATGCAGAAGTAAATTATGATAATAGATCTGTGCTGGTACCCAGTACTCCAGAAATACTAATCCTTCCAACTTGTATTTGAAATGCTAGATCTGCACATTATGTAACATAATCAAATAAACTTCTAATAAGTTCACATTAAAAGTGAAAGCAACTAGTCTGTCTGGTAACTGCACTTCCACAGACGCAGCATAATAGGACAGATCATACATTTGAACGATAGATCACTCGAATGATATTGCAAGACCCAATTTATATATGTTTTACACATTTGAACATGTGCATGGAATTATTGCTAGGCTCCAGTTCATGTTTTCATAGCTGCTTTCTTTGTCAGCTGTCAAATTACAAAACAAACACTCCCGCAATCCTGATTTGAATTTATGACAGTATGCCATGTTTAACAGTAACAATCATGACTCAGCATTTTCCTATTTTCTGTGAGTGGCTAGGTAGCTAAGCTATACAGCTTGTTGTGTTGTTTGGTGTCCATAGAAAACACTTTGTTTCATTGTAATTTTCACTCAACATTTTTATGAAGTATATGTTGATTGCACAATGAGATGCCTGAAGAGAAAATACATCATAGGCTTTTATCTTGGTTCCCTATAAGTGTTGCTTCACTTCCTACAGGATGCAGTTCAGTCTACCAGTGGTCACATGTTATCAATTCAAAATAAAAGCTCAAGATGTACACACAGCATCACTGCCTACCATGAAGCATTTGGCTGAGAAGGCAACTCAGAATAATAGCTTGCAACTCAGTGAGGAAAAAAGCTATTACTATTATTAAGCTACATCAGTACGTAATTATTAACTCTACCCAGTGTTTTCCTCTAACTCTTTAATAGCAATGAGATGGGGGTTTTGTAGGTCTTTGGTACTGCCATGTTTCTAACAATGTTGTATAGTGAACTTCAAGTTCATAAGAAATCAATGGGCAGAAAATGTGTTGTGCAGTGTTTCCTGTTTTGTTGGAAGCTCTGAGGAAAACAGGAAGAGATCCAAAAAGCAGCACCGACAATAATACTTCTTTTAATACACCCTTTACTGTTAAAATAAAAGTAAAGAAAGCTATAAGAACTTCAAACCAGTGAATGTATGTCTGACTTGTGCTTATGTGTATTATTTTTTACCAAGGGAACAGCTTCCTTAAATGTCTTGTATAACAGTCTATAATGGGGCCTTAGTGTTGGTCATAAAGTCAATAATAAATGTGATGTTTGTCATAAACCATCATGTGATTAATGAAGAATGATCTGAAGGGAAGACAGTTTTAGTGAGGATTTGAACCCGGATGAGGTTTGTTGCCCAGTACGTTGTCAAGGAATTTGGTGTTTTGATGCTTACAATAAATACAAGAGGAAATAAAAAGTGAAAAAGTGAAGAACATAAATATAGAATAGAAAAGCACAACACAAAAATGGAAGAAAAAAAACAATAACACGACTTAAACAAATATGTACAGTGTGTCCGTTTACTGCAGGGCGTGCAAACAGTGTTTCATGCAAAACAATTACTTTGTATCATTGTTAAAAAGATATTAAGGCGGAAGCAAATTATGTCCACTTTAGCTAGGATTTCAAGTAGTTTAGCAACAAAGGCAAAGTGTTAGCATCAACACAGAAACTTAAGTATAACATCTTTCCAAATTAACATCACAGGGCACTTAGCTACAATAACAAAGTACATTTAACTTACTTAGCATGAAGGAGCGGGTCGAAAGGTGGGTGTTGTGCACCATACACATGTTGAATGCTGAGGAAGTAGAGAAGAAAGCATGTATGAATGAGCTAATTCATAACTGGCTGTCAAGCTATAGCCATGTTAGCTTCTTATTACCAACAACAATGACAGTTGATACTATAATACCGCAACTAAGTGTAACGAAAATGACTTTGAATTGCTGTAAGCCCATAGCTTCTCATTGATATAAAATGGTTACTGTATCATTAGTTACAAATATGTGACTGCGGTTTGAATAAATTGCTCAACTGTTAGCCGATGTTAGCAAACTAGCTCCTAGCCAGCTAGCAGCAGGAAGGGTTAAACTGTGTCTGTAAGACTTTACCACAGACAATGGGACGTTGCAAGAGGTGATATTTGCAAACATTGTGCAGTACTGCAGGGCCGTCAGTGAAAGTGAAAGTTGCGTTTTAAGCTCAACAGTGCAGCGTCAGTTGAGTAAGGCTAGCTAGGCTAAGCTAGCCGACAGAGGGAACACGTCACTCACCTGCCAGGAACCTTCGCTGCGTTTCTTTTCCAGAACTGTTTTTTATTTGCGTCAGTCGACATTTTCCCTCTATTGCCCAACCAGTCCTAGACACAAACACACGAACGCTGTCGTTATCTCTAAGACGTGAAATTCGTTTATTTACACCAGGTACCCTCCTCCAAAACTCAGAAAGCTGCCATGTTGATAGTGCCTAATCGGCAAGCAAGCGCTGCTGCGATTGGCTGGAGCGACACTTCCTCCCTGTGAGCCAATCATAAGTGAGATCCGCTGTGAGGTGGCATGGGAAACTGCAGACGTCATCGTGATCATCTGTCTTTTCTTCTGTTGACAGAAACCACAATCTGTGTGTGTGTCAATCAAAAGGGAGACCACCAGCATCAGGACCACAAGCAGGGAGATACAAATGCTTATCATTTAACACTGCTATTTCCATTGCAGTTCATATGTACAGGATAAACTGGTGTTTTTATTGTTTACCCAGTTGCCCTATTGTTAGGAATTGTTTGTATAGGCCTACTAAAGTGTTGACACATCATAATTCACACACAAGTTTGAAAGCTGTGGTGTTTCTAGATTTTTTTCTGAAAGTATATCAATGGATCTATGGGCTACTGCATAGGCTGTTATGCTATTTATTGTTGAATCAAATACTTTTTTGAATCTATCATGGACAGATAGGACATATTTTAACATGTACCTGTATTATTTATCATCTAAAACTGATCCTAAAATTGAACTTGCACCCTACCCTGTTCAGAGAATGGGGATCTTGTAACAATGGGGGCAGTATTGGATGTTAGGTCATGTATATCTGCTGTAGATATACAGTATAAATCAAAGGCTTGAGATAAAAGTGTGTAAACGTTTTATAGTAAACCTACACTATGACTCCAGCTTTCACTAGATGGCTCAGTATATTTGTCTGTGGGCCACATTTGGGCTCAACATAAACATGCATTATACATTCAATACAAGTAGCAGATAGCAGCATACAATTTACTTGGGCAATAACTCCTCTAATTACATTCTTATTAATTTCTCTCACCCTCCATTACACAGTCACACAAAAGAGAGACCAACTTTAATCAGCTCAGTTCCAACTCAGCTAATAGAATAAGAAAGTTGCTGTGTAGGGCAAACCCACATAAACACAGTTTAACTATCACCTGTGTAAAGGCTGGTGTTTGCCTTATCCCTGTCAGAAGGTTATGAGAGGTTCTTATCAGCTCTTCAGCCTGGAAGAGTATGAAATCACCTTCCTGCTTTGAGTCATGATTTGGAGAGCTTATGTTTACGCAATGTGCTGATGTGTCCTACAGTGTAGAAGCAAACAGGATTAAATGTAAGAGCTCTCACTCTGTCACTTTTTCGCGGTACTGCAAACTTTAAGTAAACTGTTGGGGTTTTGGGGTTAGTTGAAAAATTGGCCTTATATCTGCAAAAATGTTTTGTTAAATAATTTAAGATTTGGTTATTTCATTATTTATGTTTTTAAAGGAAAGAAAATAACTTGAACTCTTACTATGTTTACAATTACTTATTAGTTTTGAAAAGAGTTCCAATGCAGAATACATCAGACGATAAAGTTGTATCAGGCACTGCTGATCAAGGAATCAATGTGTTATTGAGTACTTGAAGTCTGAAGGAAAATTTCATTTCATTTTTGTTGAATTGTTGAATTACCAGGTCAGTACACCATTTAAACTCCATATTCTCTTATTTACATTTTGGACTATAACATTTCCTTTTAGATATGAACTTCTATAAATCTATAAATCTTCTTGCTCTGCACCCTAAATCATATTTTTTTCAAAGATGTGTGTTGCATCTAGCATATGGTTATCCACAAAAGAATAGCTAAGATTGCCTTCTGTTTGTATGCACCTAAACTGTGGATATGAAATGTTGTTGCTTATGTTGTGTCATTTACAATCCATCAAACTTGTATCTTTTGTTTTCTATTTATATGTCGGTGTTGTTGCAATCTTGCTCAATGCAAATGTGTATGAAAGGTGGGTTAAAATGAAAACAAACACATTCCCTTTTAAGGCAAACATAATTTGCATAATGCAGGTCTGACACGCTACATAAATGCAGGCAATATCATGTATTATGCTATTGTAGATGTGTCCGAAAACTTAGAAAGCCTTTATTGTCATTGGACAACACGATTTTTGGAGGGCAACCCTGTCATCATGCACAGTAACGAAAACAGACAACAATAAAAACACTCCAGTAGGGCAGACAAACATACACAATCATACAGAAGGTAATCAATTATTAAGAGCAATGGTGTAAAAAGCTGTAAAGTGCATTACAAGTGCAGAAGAGTTATGTATTTAAAAGAGTAATTGCACTTTGGACTGTTTGCTTATCAGCCTTATGGCCCAGGAAAGCGGTACGGAAAGTAGGCCAGTGTCACTTTTTGAAATCGAGTGAGTCATCCTGCTCATAAGCGATCTTTCTCTTAAACCCTTCTTCTGACAGCACCGGCCGACCTGCACTTGACTCAACACTTTCCAGCTCGGAGCAGCGGTCTGTGGTGCGGCTGTAACAAAGTTAACATGGTATATCATCGGACGAGAGCGTAACTAATGACACGTTTAAGCGATATTATGGAGAATCAAGACAGACTACTGTTTTCGAAGCTTTTTCACAAACATAGACAGGTAGAAGTTACTTTAAACCGCAGTGTTTTGGCTTGGAAGGAAACTGAGAAGAGCCGAAAACGAAGCTCTGGCATCAGCAACAGTGCTGAAACAGGTAAGAACAACATAGAAGTGAATTAGTTTATACCTTTGTAATAATTATACGCAATAAAGCATTTTGGACATGGCAAATAGCCTATCTAATCCTGTTCAAAAAGTGAGTGATACATATTTACACAAAATACATAAATGGAGTGACCATAAAACATGTTTTTACAATGTTGTTAAATTGTATTTAAGTGTATCAATCCCTCCTATAAATCATTTGCCTGAGCATATACATTATTTGTCTTAGTTAAACATTGTCACCAATTCAAAAAGAAAGTATAGCAGCTGTTTTCTTATCAGGATCATTATGGAGCAACAGTCAGGTCATGAAACTACTGTAGTTCTGTGGGGTTTCAGTCATAAATAATAAGGAGGCCCTTGTTTCTTACAAGCAAATACTAGTCATGGTTAACTAGATTGATGAAAGAGGATTTCTGTCCCAGTGACCTTTTAGAAAATCTACAAAATGTCCTCTTTTTAATGCCAAGCCAAAACATTTCGTTTTTGTAACTTGGTCACTTAAAGTTGATGCCAAAAGAGGCAGAATGTGGTTTAAACATACCGTGCATGTTGGGGTATAATATACCTAAAATACAAATAAAAGGACATCCATTCAAAAAAACAGGAAAATAACTTGTGTTTCAGCTTGTGACTGTTTTCATAGGTGATTTCTACACATAGCAGATTGTTTAACTAGCAACACATTTGTTACATTTTTATGTTGATTTAGTAAATCAGTGTCTGAGATTAGTGGTTCCTAAGAACATAAATACTACACACCCTTAAGTGCTAGTGTAGTTGCAGTGAGTTGGAGTCCCAGCATGCACTGGATTAATGGCCTGCACCTTAAATCATCTCTATACTGTAACTGTGGTTCTCAACCCGTCCTGGAAATGTTGTACCATTCCATCTTTTGCATCAGATAAATTTAACTTAATCCAGATGTCCTTTTCACCTCCTGAGGCTAATGTTTGTTCATCTTGATGAGTTCCCTGGTCTGCAATTACTGTACCATATAGAGTGAAGTTATTACAGCTGGCAAGGCACACTTCAGTTTAAACCTGGCCATTGACCTCCCTCAAAGTGGTATCAAGCGCCCTATAATAACCTGCCATAAAGACATCCATTTATTGAGTGAATGTTCAACACAGCTACACCAATGATAGCTGTGGCAAGTGTTTACCCAGGAGTTAGGAATCAAACGAGGGGACTTTGCCAGTAATGGATACGCTATGGATAAGCCCAACGTCAAACACCATGGAGGCACATTCTTTGAGAAGTAATCAAATGACGGTGTTTGCAAATTTAAGCTGCATATTATTTTTATCTTTATGGACACAGTCTTTGAGTAGGGTTGTGGTTATCATTAGTAGGCACTATAATCAAGTTAATCAGTGACTATGGTAGACATAGATGTTTGTGACTGCAATATAAAGTAAACATATTTGCACCTATCCAAAAAAAGAAATACAATTGTTCTAGACTTCAAAATGGTGTTGATTAGATTTCCACACTTTTCTCTCTGTGTAGTTTTTGCGCTGTTTGTTTAATATACATTTGAAACTCCTAAATGTTGCAACTGGACAATTAAGGAAATGTCATTGATACACTGATAGAAATCAATTCAGAGTGACTCAAATTTGACAGCTCTTCGCCTTGCTCTTGTCTTACATTCGTCTGCCAATCTTTTCCACCTAACATCGAACTTGACACCCAAATGCCATAAATGCCAGTATAAATTGATATGAGCACCTCTCTGGCCTTCATATTTTTCTATACAACATTAGGGGATGTTACCTCTTGACATTTAAGTGGATTTGGTCGAATCAGAGCATCTGTCAGTCAGATGTCCTGAGTAGATATACCGAGGCATTGGTATCCTAGCCAGGAATGTCGTTTACACACAGATTCACTCTCACACACAAACAAAATCCAATCACTGAGATGGCATTGCCTCTGAGACTGGAGTAAATCCTATGTCCACGTTATGCCTGAGTCACTCCTCCTATACAATGCATGCTCCCATCTTGGAGGAAAATCTAGACTAAATCACTGCATATGCTCTAGAGAGCATCTCCCCTTTGCAAATCACTATGCTTAGCAAGTAGTACTTCCTCAGGCCCTCTAAGCCTGGATATCTGCCTTTGCCAGAGGGGGTTTAGATATTTCCTTTCCTATATGGCAAAGCTGGATACAGATCCAACGTGTTACAGTCTGGGATTCATTTATAGCAATACAGGAAGTGTTGCAAGATAGGCTGTAATATGGTATCAGCAGCACAAGATTTCCTCTGTTACCAAATCACATATCAAAATCCACCTATGAAAACTGCAGAAGCAAAACTAAGCTATAGGATTTCGTGCATCAGTATCTCATAAAACTACAGTAAGTCTTAAAATGTTGGAAAAGGAGACTAAAGCCATGCTAGTATCTCCGTCACACTTTAGTTAG